CGTCATACCTGCACCACTCTATTACGTAATTGCCATAGACCAATGGTAGTTTGAAGCCGTTTACCAGCCGAAGAGAACTTTTCTTCATTTTAGCCTGACTTTGTTCGGAATTATGTCAAACAAGTTTGTTGTTCGATTTCGCTTGAAGTATATCTTAAACTTCCATTTCTTATTTTTTTCCATGGTGGTGGCATACAAACCTTCACCCATACAAGCCTCCACACAATCTTCACAGCGTGCTGTCTGGACTTCGTCCCGTGTCATTGTCACACCCTACAGTCTCAATTAAACACACCCTGTTTATTCACACAGGAGTGACCAACACAATGGAGGCTATTGTGATCACAATGACACAGGCTATGGTACTGGGGGGCAAGCTCTTCTCATCAAGGCACTGCCTGACATTAGCATCACTGTCAATGGACAGAGGGGCCCTAACTGCCTGCCGGCTGCTCGACGGACTTAAATCCTTCAGAAAGGAGACGAAGAACTAAACGAGGAGTGTGACAGACCAAGTCCAAGAACCCAAGATTGAGTTGGGGGTTGGAGTGGGCGTGTGGTGTGAGGTGTGACACGGTCCAGGCAAATGCAGGGGGAAAAAAAGCACACATTTGCAACTGAAATCCAGAGCAGTCGCCTATATTTGATTACCACGCCCCGGTGTCACCATGTAGCCATGGCAACAACCGCGTTATAGCCTCCTGGGGATGCGAGTTGCGCCTTCTGGTCTAACGTTAAGGGCATCGAGGAACAAAAAGAGGCTAACAGCAGATGAGAAATATGTGCAGCTGGAGGTATAATGAGAGGATGGAAGGAGGAGGGGTCAGCAAACAAAGGCATTGTCGTTACAGGCCGAATAAAAGCTTGGACATAAGTTTGATTTGCTTTTCAATTGAGTTTGGAAAAGCTGATGAGTTTTACTACAAAAACAATTATAAAGCATGTTCGATAATCTTTGGAGGAAAGCAACTGGGTGTTCGTTTAAATGTTTTGCTACTCAACCAGGTAGAGTTGCCAAATATAAATTTGTGGTTTAACTTACAAGACAAAGCTTGTTGTTGTTTTTTACACCCCTCTTGCAGAGAGAATGAAGCATCTACTGTAATGCATGTGTTTCTGCCCATTGTTTTAAACTGCTGTTGACTGCTCAACACTTTATTGTCATGCACTCAAACTCATCAAAATGAAAGTGGTTTCATTTTGTTTTGACTGAAAGATTCAGCTAGCTTTGGATGTCTATATACACACAGTTTTTTTTTTATTCTTTCTTTATAAAGACACGCAAACCTGGTTGAACCTTGCAGCAAAAACAATGATTTAAACTCGTACACTCTGCATTTTTGGGACAGCAACATGCATTCAGCCAAGAGCCAGATCTTATCTATCATTGTGAGAGTCATAATGAGACTAATTAATTTCCCGTTTAATGCCAGGAGAGAAGCAATAAGCAAGGGATCATTTGCTGTGTCCTACAAAAGCCCTCCAGAGAAAACAGCACTGCACAGACACTATTGCCATTCTCTACATTAGCGCAGGGTTCGGTACTAATGAAGTCTCTTAAGGCAATTGTGTCCTTTCTGATACAGCCAGCCATGCATCTGAATTCTGTACACTGTGAATACAGCTAATGTGGTCATACTGCAAATAAAAGCCAATACATGACAACCCTGTTAACAACACAGACACCCTTTTCACTGCCTACGCAACATGACCTGAATGAGTCTACAGTCTAAAGTGCAAAAGTAGACAGCAGAACTAAATAATGTGCTCATGTGACACGCAGCTAGAGTTGTGTACTCGTCTCTCCAGCTCTTCCCTAAGCACAGCTATGCGTTCACTAGTCTATGACCACGTGTCAATGTCACTCAGGCGTTATCTGCCGCCGGAAATAATGAGTGCGCGTCTGCGTCAGAACATCGCATTTCATCAACAAGTCACGAGCAAAACTATCAGTCCTTTGCTTTCGATCTCAACGAAAGCTTATGTACAACCAACACATGTAATAAGCAAAGCAAAACAAGAAAATAACATCCCCCCCCCCCTCCCTCACTTCTCGTGTTACATAGTTGCCCTAGATTCTTACTACTCGCCACAAACTGAATATTTATTTGTAACCTTCAACTGTAACCTTTAGCATTACTCTGTTGTTACAGAGTAATATTCGAATATGCGTTATATTCGAATGTTCTCTCTGATATTTGAGCATTCAAATTTAAAAGGCGCTTTCGCGACAATTGACGTTTTGAATTGTAATTTTATCTAAAAAATATTTTATGACTGCATATCTGTCGTGCGTTCTGAAACTTCCGCAGATAATGTCACAAGAATGCTGGCCAGTCTTCTTTAGAATGAGGATCTTCAGTTAGCGTCAAGCTAATGCGTGAAGCTTCGCGGAGAGCTTCCGAACACCTAGCGAAATAAAACAGCGAAGTCCTGGGATTGATATACTTATTGTTTTCGAGTATTCATCCAGGAAAAGTATACGAATATGACTGGTATGTGGTTGGTTTAATGTCTCGTGTCAGCTCGACGGCAAACGCATGCATTTCACTCAACTAAGTTAGCTAGCAAGATCACATGGTCTAAAATGTTTCTAAAATGATTCTGGGAATAGAACTGACGAGTGTATATTTCAATACGAAAGGTGAAAGAACGAATAATTAATTCGTTCAACAACAAAAATCAACGTAAACACCGAAATAAGGGAGCTCAATGGGCTTGTTATTGGCTAGATTTATGCTTTTCACGAGACACGTTTCATACTTGTCATCTGATTTAAAACGCCGATTCCCCTTTAAATAAACAGCATTATAAATCCATTGAAAAGCGTTTACTTACATTCGTGCATTCTACTGTCGCGTCCGACGACAAAAGCTGCCGTGCTTTCATGCAGTAGCCTTTCGCTCGCGCTGTGTCAAAAGATCAGCAGCTGCTTCCTCCATCCACGCAGCAGCGCGGAGATCACGCCGCACGGCAACGCTTCCGTACCCCCCCTGCCGTCGCCAAGGCAACAGGGCCACTTCAGCCAATCACACCCCCTCCTCTCCGATATCCCCCTGACAACTGCCGCATCGCAGTAGCACTTTTTTAGCAAACCTAAGCAATTGCGTTCAGCACGCGCTCCGCGTTGCACCACGTTATTCATTCGAGGTTTGTGAAGAAAAAAACTCGGTGTTATTTCAAACGGTGTCGCTAACCAGTCGGTGTAGATTCAGATATTTTTGACGTCACATTCTCATTGAGAATATGCTTTATATTTAAAGGCTTTACTAACTTAGACGGCGTATGACCACCAACCAGCTTACGTTGGAAACGAGGTCAGATGCTGTTGCGTCATTTCGCGGGGGAGACCTGGAGGCTCGTCGTCCAATCGCAGGCTACTGCACGATGTGAAGTAGAGAAGTGCTTAACAAAACTTACCAGGCAAACTTATGTAAGTATTGTGCTCCAGAAAAATGCATCTCTTTGGAAAGTCAGGACTATGACCATAAGAGTTTTATTGTAGCCTACTTTGTTTTCACCTCTGGTAAATATTAACCCTTTCTGGCTGAAATTATGTTAGAGAGACAAAAATGTCTGCAGCCATAACCAGTCAACATTTTGATATTTTAATAGTTATTTCTATTGTGCAATGTATGCATCAGTTCTGACTGACAGTTTTAATACCAAATAATATCTAAGTTTTGCTGAAATCACATCTAAATGTTTGCAGTAGCAAAGAGAACATATCTTTAATTCTAAACGGGTTAATTGTAAACTAAAATGCAGGCCTGCATTATCTTATTAAACAATTAGAAAGAAGTAAAAGTGAGTTAACTGTAGCCTCATTATAGGAGCTGTTTATGCAACCCCCATGCATGTTGGGTGATCACATGATTGATTTATGGCAGTGTGGGGCGAAGAAGGGGCCTGTCTTCAGCAGAGGACAGCGAGGAGGACAAAGTTTAGAGGAGATACAGCTTACTGACTTCATTCTCAAAGGTCCTCACACGTGACACACTCAACATGAATCTCACAGGTTAATTAAGAGTCATGCAAAATTGAATATTTTCATTTTGCTTTAAAACATGACCAAGACCATTGAGTTTATTTATTCATGTATTTTTACGTTATGCCAAATACGTTTAAAGAAACCACTTGCCTATTTATTGCAGACATGGAAAACATGTATTTTCCAATGTAATTATCAAATGTTAATGTGGTTGCGCAGATGTGTCAGTGTGCCATGTTCAAGTTGTGTGCCATGATTTTCCACATAACTACAACTCTGTGTTTAACAATTAATGCTTTTAAGGATGGCTTTTTTGTGCTATAATGTGTCCAATGGCAATAAATGTGCCATTGTGCAATTTTGCCACGTTATGCAGAAGGATGCAGTTAAGCATGAAGATTGGGGGCTGACAAAAGTAAAAGTCATTGAGAACCCAAAACTGAGTCAATGGTTAGGGTTAGAGTTATGGCCCTGATCCCAAATCACAAAAATTAAGGAATTATTTGTATCAAATACAAATACTTGAACCAAGAGTGTGCCAGTATGCCACAGAATGTCTATAAGTCAATGTGGTTCAGGTTGTTTGCCTGTAATGATGGTGCATATTTACCCAGGAATAGTGGAAAGAGAAGGGTTTATGATTTCATGAGTTGTTCTTATCAGACTAGATAAAGCACAGCGCTATAAAAGTCTCCTACAGAGAGGACCTGCTTTGAGGACCTTGCTTCCGTTATTTGCACAAGTCGAGTATATGCATTATAATATTGCAGGAAGGTGACACCTGCAATCAGGGTGGTTTTGTCTTATAATAACTGTAATCGAATCATATTTAACAAGCTCTTGAAGGCAGTATACTATTCTGTTCAACCGTATAGTGAAAGATGTTTTCATGGCTTAATGGACAGGAAAAAAGTAGTGCAACCTATAAAGCAGGTGTTTAAAACAACAAAATTCCTCTTGACATGTGGAATGTACTGTTAAGATTCAACAAAAACAAACACAACCAGAGTTGATCTAATAAAGTTTATTTTCTTAAAAATGACCAGTTTCTGTTCTTTTCTAGGAAATTAAACCATTTTAAAATTCATACTAGCATCTACATAATGGTTATTGAAGACTTCACAATATATTAAGTCTAGATGTTATGGTACACATGCATAAAATTCAGGCTGCATGAGAAGCCACAGTCACCACATTACACATAGATGGAGTTTGAGGGGCAAAAAGACAATGGGGCTGTAGAGATACTTGTCTCAGCTTTAAAGAGGCCAGAGGCCTCTGATATAACCAACTCCAGCAAGGCTTTTCAAAATCAGCAAAACAGGCACAAGTCAGGCCATGGGCCCAAAAGAAAGCAATAAAATAGTCAGGATGCACTTTTAACAGTGATGCTATGACCACATGAACAACAATTAACTGAATGAAAATGCTCAGGGATTGTTTTTAATAGAAATCTTTTCTTTACATTCTCTGTAAGATTAATGGTCAAACATGTTTCAGAATTCTTTGGGCCCTTAGTTAACACTTCAAACCGCTTGGAGATGAAAGCTCCAAATACTAAGAAAGGGAACTTGAGAATGAGAAAGTTATATACAATAGGCAAAAATAACCCTTTTCTAATAATGGCAGCAACAAAGGTGATGCAAACATTTCTGAAAATGCACGACCGTAAGTTCCACACATCAATCACTCACATAAAAGAATTTAACTTTAAAGAAGTCATCTCATTAAAAAGAAAAATGCTGGAGGAAAATTTAGTGTTCGTTTTCTGATCTTTTCTTTGTTATTCCTCTTTCACAGAAAGAACTTATATGCTGAGACATGTGTATGATTACAGCAAGCCTAATGTGTGCTAACAAAAAAATATTAATAACAATAATAATAATAATATATAATAAAATAAAAGACATTCAAATACAGTAAGATTTTTTTTTTGCCTGAAAATATAAAACTACATGAGAAAGCATTAAAATCATATTTGTAGATCAGAATAACATATTAACATTTAAAATAAAAAAAGCAAGTGCTAATCACATTGGTATTTTTTGTTGTTTTTTTGTTTGTTTGTTAATTTTTTATATCATACATATATTTCAGCACATCTGCTGTCAAAAACAAAAAAACAAAACAAAAAAAAAGTCACCAGCCAGGGAGCCATAATGGTATGGCTCTGCCTCTAATCTGAGAAACCGCAATCTGTAGCTCCTAGTGGCTCCGGTCGCGGTCAAATCTGTACATAAACTGCAGCAGAACTTGTCTTGAATCTCCACATAGAACTGAAGTTGCACAGGGCAGGGCGCACAGCGTAGGGCTATGCGATTGGAAGGACCAAATAAAGTCTACTCCAGTCCCTTCCCAAACACCACCACTGTGGCACCCACCTCCACAATCTCCATAATCCTGAGTCAACATATTGCTTCACAATATTTCACTCTTCCAAATCATCCATCACGCTCCCAAGCAGATGTGGAGAGAACTCCTTGCATTCTCAGTTAGCAATATACAGGAGTGTCTGCACACAGTACTGAGGCAGCTTTACACGGTTTCAGAGTTCTGCATTTCACCTTTCCAAAGATAGTTTCTCTTAAAATGATTAATTCAAAGTCTGACATCTTTTGTTATCCACACACTTTGCACACCAGGTCTCTCTGGCCCAGAAATGGCAGGCGCTCTGGATTTGTAGGCAGGTAAGATAAAGACCAGGGTGCTGTGATGAAGGATGAGCTCGCTCTCAGTTGTGCTGTAATGTGTTGGATTCTATGGGAGGTGCCGAGTCATACAGAGTGTCCGTGTCATGGGTCGGCTCTCCGGCCAATGTGCAAGGATTGGACAATGTACCCGCGCCACAGTCACAAAAAAACCTAGATGGGAGAGATTATAAAACGGATTAGAGCAGAATCTATGCGTCCACTAAAAGTTACAGAAAATTTGTAATTCTGCAATTCACTAGGAACTATAGCTTTTCTTGTGGATTTAAACAAGAAACTAATACTTTTTGGAAAAAGTGACAGTTAAAGGCATTTACAGTTACAATTTCTATTCTTGAAATTGTAATATTTCACAGTATTATTGTTTTTACTGTATTTTTGGAGAGCATAAGAGAATACACGGTACACAGTAGTGTATTGCACTGACCTATCATGCCGTATAAACTCCACATCATGCCCTTGGTGGCACTTCTTAATACAATTCACACAAATTGCATTCCGGTCTGTTGTGTTACAGGTGTGACACCTAATGGAAGAGAATGGAACATGGTGAAATACAACCATTACTGTTGGTTTTCAAAGCAGACTGCTTCAAGTTGCCTGCCTTCTGATTACCTGTAGAAATCGTGCATGGGGTAGCTGGTGTAACTGGAAATCTTGTACAGGCACTGACCTCTGCTCACTGCCTTTTCTATGGCATCCTGATTGTTCATGATTTTATTATCTAGAAAGTTATGGAAAAGATTTATATTAACATACATATATATATATATTATTGAGGTAAAATGAGAAAGATAGTCGGCTATGAGTTTATAAGTTAACGTTTACCTTTCATTGTAACATTGACACCAGAGGCTAGAAATAAGCCTCCAAATCTGTTGTTGAATATTTGATTGCCTTCCAGAGTCGCCGTTGCATGGTTTGTGATTTCAATGCCTAAAGTGGGGGACAGAGAGAGTGTTATTTGAGTTAAATATTAGAAAAATGGCACAAGTTATTTGGGCTAAATATCAGAAAAATGGCACAAAAACTACACACAAATTCCAATTCCAAGAACTCCAGAATGTCCCGTATGCGTTTTATTCACAATCATTATAATAGCACTGTTTTTTTATTATTTCACACCATTATAACCATTACATAAGACCACCACAGTGGCAGCATGTACGCACTTCTGACCTTAAACCTTCTACCGACCTGCAGCAAAGCCGTCAAATATCCGGTTCTTCCGCAGCACCGGGTGGCTGTTTGTGCTGATGAGAACACCAGCCTGTGCGTTCCTGAAGATGTCGTTCTCTTCCAACAACCCTGAATATGCATATATAGACATTGCTATTAGTTTCTATGATAATGATTAAACATGGTACATCCATTGAACAAATTCAAACATCCATTACGTATATGATTACGTAATTGGGCAGCTTTTTTGACAGATTAAGCTCAGTTTTGAATCAAGGGCTTTCATTGGGGGATTAAATCACTAATTGTGTGATTTAGCGCAAGAGAACCTTTGATCCGTGTCTAGGAATCTGTTCTGGTTACATTTTTCTACTTTAAGTCTCCATCAGCTGGCGTAGCATTTCCTGCACTGTGCTCAAGCAGAAAGAAATTTTCCAATCCATTCTTACCCCTCCCGCCATTGAATATGCAAATACCCCCATCCCGTCCATCATGGATCTTATTCCTGCGCAGCGTGGGGTTGCTGTCCGTCTTAATCCACACCCCCGCCATGGCATTATCAAAGATCTCATTGTCCTCGATAAAACCCAGCCCTAAGAATAGACAAACAAATTATGTTAAACAAACAAGCAGAAACATCTCTTACAACTGGCCACCCCAATATGACAGCTGAGATCTGTAACGGTTTTCACAATTTACAGCATTACAGCTAAGGAAAGAACTTACTCATAAGCAAGCTTCATAATGAGTAAAAAGACAAATAGAAAGAACAGAGAGGAAGTAAATAAAGAACTTACCAGAGTTGTAAACAAGGATGCCTCCATTTTGTCCACCCCAAATTTTGTTTCTTCTGATTTTCGGATTGCTGCCAGTTCTGTTTAAAAAAAGAAAAGAAAAAACAAAACCATCAATCTTGTACGTCCAAAAGGTATCCAATACATAAATTCAGTAGACTTTTTTTACAACCAAGACTCTTGAAAATTTATTTGTACCCCTGATACTTCCTGAAGAAGCCAAAATTCAATTACTTCATCCCTACCTGATCTGGACTCCAGAGTACATATGATTGTAGATATCATTATCTTCCAGTACACCATGTCCATTGTCATAAAAATACACCCCAACCTTTTCAGAAAAAACAAACGAAAACAATATTAACAGGGAAGAATGAAGTTAGATTATATCAAAAGAAGTTTTGAAGTTCCAAACCTGTTTTCCACTGTGTATCCTGTTCCTTCTGAGTACTGGCGTGCTTCCTGTGGTCACCCACACGCCGGCCAGAGTGTTGCTGTATACCTCATTTTCTTCTATTACACCTTGGCCCTTCTCATGCTACAAATAGAAATAGACAGTTACACTATGACCAATGCATACTGTGCATACTTTTTTTGTTAGCAGCCCGTAATGTATTCCAGTCAGCAGTGATTTAAAGTATTTGAGTAAATGTAATTAGTTACTGTACTTTAGTAACTTTTTGGCTACTCTGTAGTTTTACTGGTGTTTATCAAAGATATTAGCAACTTTTACTCTGCATTACTCATCACAAATGTATTGGAGTAAAGAATTACTCATTAAATTTTGCATGGCACCAAACTTTTTTTTTGCTGCAGTTTATGTCTGAAATAAAGCAATACTGTAAAAAAAAAAAATGTGTTATTAACGGTAAAATACTGTAAAAATACCAAGATAAAAAAGTTAATTGTTTAACAGTAAGATTCCATAACCTTAGATCTAACCTTACATTCAAATGTAAACTTCACATTTGATGCATTTTTGTTGAAATAACTGTTTCTTTTTCTTTTCTGATCAGTTATGTACATTAGGGTTTTATGTTACATCTAATGTTGTTAAATTAATATTTATTGCATTACTTTAGCGTTGTGTTTTACCATGATGGTGTTTTGTGTGAATGACACTGAGCACCATTTTTATATAGGTATTATTAACTTTCTCAGCATGTTGAAAAGCGGCAGATGAACTTTGATTCACCATGTGACTTTCTCATTACCACCTGTTTTTGGTGGTATGGTTTTCAGGTACTGTTTACAACACCACTGCCAGTCAGATCATGTGCATGCTCACTCACCACATAGATTCCTCCATGCTGGCCGTCATGGATCTTGTTGTGCCTTACTATAGGACAGCTGTTCGTTCTGATCTGAATGCCAGCCAGGGCATTTCCATAAATATCATTTCCCTCAATGAGGCCCCTCCCATCACCAAATATGTAAACGCCTCCTTGGTTTCCATTGAAGATGGCATTTCCCCTAGATTAAAAGCAGACAGCTCATTTGATAGATAAATCAACAAGCTGGATCAATCAATTGACAGTGAGCCGAGTGCTTAGCTCAGTACAATCGATATCCAAAAATATTTTCAATTCTAAAAATAACAATGTAGATTTATACTAATAGGGCGAGGGAGACTGACCTTATTGTCGGGTCACTGTTGGAGGTGATCCACACGCCAGCAAAGTTATTGGCATAGATTTTGTTTTCTATGAACTGGCCTCGGCCTTTCTCGTGAACATAGATGCCCCCCGTTTGGCCGTGGTGGATCTCACAGCGTACCACAGTCGGGTTAGCATACGCTTTCACCTCAAACCCTGCAATCCTGTTCCTATGGATATTACAGCTCTCAAAGTAGCCCTGCAGAGGGAGACAAAGAGACAGAAATCAGCTCACTGGCTGCTGCCAAAAACAGATGAAATCTCTGATTGAACAAAAATTAGGTGCAATTACCATGCCATGGTCAAAGGTAAACACTCCTACATCTCTGCCATGGTGGATATGATTACGTCTGATGATAGGATTGCCATGGTTTTTTACCCAGATACCCGCAAGAGCATTGTTTGAGATTTCGTTATCTTCATAAATACCCTGTAACAGCAGCACACAGGTAAAAACAACAACATAATACCGTTATTGTGATTAATCATTATTTGTCAGTAAAGCAGGCAATAGTCTTGTCTGCAACCGTATTATCTACAATTTATGACTAACAACCAGAGTGTCAACACTGAGATAAAGCAGATATTCAAAATGCAACATTTTGACAAGATGATTTGGCCAAAACATGATGGCAAAATAATCCATTTGGGTAATAAGTCACAGTAAGCCTTGTAATTTAACTACTATGTAACTATAGATAAACGTAAAAGTCAAAACAAAAATAAAAGTGTATCATATGGCTTCAGAAGACTTATAATATAGTGCACGAGTCATATGAATCACTTTTAAGGAGCTTTTAAAGTTTTTTCCTTCCCTGTTTCTGGCTTGACAGTGTGATCCTTTATGGAAAACAGTTGTGTGAGAAACTTAACAGTAAACAATGACAACTTCCATTTTGAACAGTTCATTTAATACAGGTTCCTACCTGTGCGTGATCAGTGATGTACAGTCCAACGTTTTCACAATCGCTGATGTTGCAGTGTTTAATGGTAGGTCCGGCACCCTGACCACTTACACACACTGCTGATCCCACTGCGCAGACAGAGAAAGGACCTCAATCACCCTGATAAAATTTCTCATACTTCAACTGCTAAAATATGCCACTAACAGCAAGGTCATGAAATCAATCCTCATAGAACACATATACTGATAAAATATATACAAAGTTTGAATGCATTTCAAGTCAAATGAATGTCTGCCAAATTAACTGAATGCATGTCAAAAGGACTTCTCCCTCTTAATTCATCATGTTAATGAAACAAACACATTAGGCTGAGGATCAAAACAATCGTGCCACAAAGCATTAGATATGAAGTAAGCATCCATCCATGATGCCTAGTTACACAGATTAGACAACTGTATATAGTACCGTTCAAATGATTAGGGTCAGTACTATTTTTTTCTTTTAAATTAGTACATTTTATTCAGCAAGTATTCAAGACATTTCTAGATTTCTATTTCAAATAAACACTGATAAATAGAAAGTTCAAAAGAACAAAGTATCCTGGAAAAAAAAAGTATACCGGTTTCCACAAAAATATTAAGCGGCACCACTGTTTTCATTAGGGCTGTCACTAACGGTTAATTTTACGAAATCTAAGAAATCGGATAACTTGTTTGCAGTAGTAAAAAGACCTACACCTAGGGGTGGGCGCTATACCGGTGTGAACGCGAATACCGGTATTATGTTGTGCCATGATATGGATTTTGCGATACCGAGGATACCGTATTCATAAATTCAAATTTTGCAGTTATATTGTTTTGTTCAATTTGGTACTCTTTACAACTGTTAACACTAATGACGATGCAGAATCGAATACGCTGTTTAAGGAAATGGCTGATTTGGCGCTTCATACGCGTGAAGTTGCTGAGGCGATTAACCGCTGTCCTGTGACGCGTTCAATGAAGGACCGTAACGTAGAACACATCGCTAGTGCTAAGCGGCTGTTCATAAAGGATGCATCTTTTGCGGTGGAATGGGAAATAACAAGGTAATGAGACGCAAGTTTGACTTTTAACGGCATTTTTAGAATGCCGTTTCATTTGCGAGACGCGGGTGCAACACCAAAACAAGTTCAAGCACAAACAAAGTTACAGTTCCAGGCTACTGTATGTTTGAGATGTCATGTTTTCATGAAGGTTGAAAGGCTGAAAGCTGCTATTATTATCTTTGTTTTTATAAAACATTTACTGCTAATAATATTATCCACGTGGAGACATTTCCCCGCAATGTAACGTTAGGCTATGAATAACAGGACACGACACACAAGCGCGCGCATACACACGACACACACATAAGCGCGCGCATACACACACACTGGTCCACTATCTTTGTTGGGGACTCTCCATAGACGTAATGGGTTTCATACTGTACAAACTGTAGGCCTTTATTCTGTCTCCTTACAATTTTCATTGTTTTTTTCTTGTATACTTTTAAGGTCTATTTATTTGGTGCTTTGTTCAATCTCAAACCATTATTTTATTTTTATTATTTACATGTCTGCACAAGAGTTAACTGTAATCTGTGCAAACATTAAACTTAAATTAAACGTCTCGCTTTGGTCTACACTGGAAGTGTTCTGCTCGCTCTGCTAAAGCTAAACTATAATTACTAAAACTGAAACTAAATAAAATAAAAACTATATAGAAATGTGTTTGCAAAATAAAAACTAAATAAAAACAAAACCATTAATGAAGCTAAAACTAAACGGAAATTTAAAGCAAAGTTGAAAACGATATTAAAATAAAAACTAATTTAAAAAAGCAAAACTATAACAACAGATATTCCCGGCGGAGACAGAGCACAACCGAAGACGGCTCTCACTCAGAAATCAATAAAGTCTTCATTCGCTGCCGGTTCTCATTATGACAAGACGAGCAAAAAGACAGAACAAGTGCATTCAGGCCTACCTCATGTTGCACGTTTGCACTTTTTGAAAAAAAAAAAAAATGGCACAATAAAAAAAAAAAAAACTTTTCAGGTCTATGTCCAATGAAATGCCTCACCTTTTTCTAGTTAACTAGTGTTAAAATACATATTTTGCCTGTAATTTAACTAAGGTGTACTAAAATGTGATTCCAATTTTTTTTCTCATATCGCGATATAATATCGATATCGTCCGGACAGTGAAAAATATCGTGATATGAATTTTTGCTCATATCGCCCACCCCTACCTACAGCAAACAATAACCTTTAAAATTACTTAAAATACATATAATAACAATAAAGCAATTATATCTAGTAATTATAATTATAAAATAATCATATGGGTTTTATTGAACAATGTTAATATTATGTATATTACATTATGTATTTTAGCAATCAACTTATGTCCATTATGTATTATAAAAAACGAGCAAGGTGGCTGGCCACACACTGAATTCAGTACAGACTACAGAAGTTTATCAAAACTTGTGTGAAGGTGAATTAAAAACAAATGAACAGGAGCAAACGTTTCAGCACATTGCTATCTTCATAATGCATTATGTATTATAACAAATGGCTGAAGAGGGCACCAAAGGCCTGGTGATTGTTGTTGTCACATGTGTCAAATCCTTTTTTAATATTGGCATTAAAATGTCCAATTAATATTTAATATTGGACCACTTCTTTATGATATAAATGCTACAGTCACTGCAATTTCTTTAACAAGAATATGTGGACATTAAAACATGCAAACTCAAAGCGAGGCTTTAAACGTTTAGAATTGCGATGAACAGTTAGCATATTTAGAAAGATGTTGATGTATTCTCCTGTGATGGCGTAGGTTTATAAATTATTTACCTTACAAATCTGAAGAAATGACGCATACTGCATTGTTATAAGAAACCCAAACTCACAGCATTTGCAGAGATGGAGTTTGAGACGCGCTCCACGCATGTAAATGACAACCGTGCAACAAAAACGCTATGACACAAAGCGAGTCAGACTTCATGTGCATTACAAAATGCACGTTATTGGTATTTTAGCGGTAACTTGACGGGTAAATTGCAATCAATGATTTTTTAAAATCGAGAACTTGAATTTAGTCGAGGAATCGTGACAGCCCTAGTTTTCATTATTAATAATAAGATATGTCAGCATACATTTCTTATCAGCATATTAGAATGTTTTTTGAAGGATCATGAGACGCTGAAGACTGGAGTGACGACTGCTGAAAATTCAGCTTTGATTTCATAGAAATAAATAACATAAATATACATTTAAAATAGAAAACTAAATAATAATTTCACAATATTACATTTATACAACATTATTATTAGTTTTTTCCAGAATTTTTGTTCAAATAAAAGCAGCCTAAGTGAGCGCAAGAAATGTATTCTTAAAAACATTTTAAAATATTACTGACTCCAAACTTTTGAACAGAAGTGTATTATGCTAGGGAAGCAGATGGTAGTGTAAATGAAGCGTACCTGTGCAGGTGCTGCGGATAACGCAGTGGTCGATATTGGGGCTGCAGTTAACCGTGATCTCTAAACAGTGGTGAGCATTATGATGCTGTGCTGACTTATCATCAGGGTTGAACTGAAGCAAAAAAAGCAATATTACAATCACTCAAAAACATGATTTGCTGCAACCTCTGATCAAAAGCATTAAGGGTGAATTAGAAATCAGACGGCATTATTATCTAAAAGACACCATGCAATGAGCTAAAAGAGAAAAAGCTGTAAAAACTGTTACTCACCCTGATGGTCATGTAGCCCACATATGCATCTTCAGATCCCTCCATAAACACAAACGTTGAATCTCTAGTGTTTTCAATAACAACCTTGTCGGCTACCTTCCCTGAGGCTGAAAGGAAAGAAAACAGGGGTGTTAGTGACTTTAGTCAAAGTATGCAAGGTTAAACATTTGATGTTATTGTCAAGATTTTAAGTTAAAGGATATAGGTAACAAAAACAGGGTCATCAGATTCACCTGCGCCAATCATTGTGATGGGGGATTCAATGTAGATCCATTCATCTGTGTAAATGCCAGAATGCACAAATATCAGGCCATCAAAATGGGCCTCTTGCACCCCTCCAAGTGCATCCTCAATGGTGTCATAATACTGAAAACCAGAAAAGTGCTGTCATTACAATGAAGCTGAAAATGCCTTATTGAAAATGCCTGCTTTACTTTAAAAAAATAAAATAAAAATAAAATTAAACTGCTGAAGCCAACGATCCATACCAACATATTCTCTCTGCCTTTGTATCTGGCTGGATTACTATAAAAGTGTTCTGCAAAACCAGGCTTTACATGTGCTCCTTTATACTGTGGAAAAGAAAAAGCAAAGACTTAATGAACACTTCATTTTTTTTGCATCTGTATTTAACATTTTTGATTGGTTCACCCAAGATGGACAGTTAACATGGTGCAAATGTGGCCTTAGTCACTTTATTAACTTTCGAAGAGTGAATATCATTATTACTCTGACAAATCACAAACAAAATGCATCAGACTGGAAAAATCATCTAAGCATTCACATCATCCTGATTTAACCCTTTAGGCGCCAGAGGTTTTTTCCTAAAACGTTCGATTTTGACATCTTAATTTCAAAAGGCTATATCTTAAAAGTGAAAAAAGATAGAGACTTTCTGTAAATTAGAGAAATATTAAGGATGACCCAAAGTGTATGTAGGGATTACATTTTCCCATCTAATTTGCATATTATGACGTCATATGGTGGTGGCAATCTTGGATTATAGAATTTTCATGAAAAGTCACGTTTAAATGATAAAATGCAGCACTTCTTTCCCCCCAAAATGTCCATCACCTTCTGTATGCTATATTGCACAATACTGAATGCTCAGGTATATAGTAAGTAGTAAACAAACTGTGTAAATCATTACTAATAAATGGTAGAAACAAACCGAATGCATGTAGTGATTGGCCTTTTGCTGTAGAGATTTTCCATTTACTAAATACAGTAGGCACTCTGATTCCATGTATGGGGCAAATATATTTTATTCATATGACATACAAACACAAGTAGACAAGACCTGTTTAGTTCAAACGCTCACTCGCACAGATCACGAGTGACATGATACGAGCAGCGCGGCCAGATCTGCCTCGCGCGCGCGCCGAGTGTGCACAGCTCGGACTACTGTCATTGTCATTGCGACTCCTCACCCTGCCTCCACGTTGCCTCGTAACTGTCCTATGAATACTTCGACCTCGTCTTCGACCTCGTCTAACATACCCAGTGGTATTAGACAAAGTCTCCTCCACAATACTGTCGCCGCGATTGCGGAGAGGATCTGATAAAATGGCTTACTCGCACACTAGCTCCGCTTTTGATCGCACTGATTCAATGCGCTCTAACTCGAACATGTATAGAAACATGACGTTTTTTTGATTCGGGGATGAAGTATGACATGTCTGCCATCCAGTGGAGGGGAGGTTGAACGAAATTTGACACCCAATTTGACAAAATCGGCCTTTTTTTTCAGTGCCGCGTCTTGTCGAGTAAACTCGACCGTGGCGCCTAGAGGGTTAAAGAGGAAAATAGAAACGCAAGCTCTCATACCAACTGCTGAAAGCTCTCTTTCCATGGGTTTGGTTGCTCATACTCTTCCGGGTTGATCTGGTAGAACTTCCCCGGCTCTGGATGCATCATGGGTCGTGTGTACTCAAACACCTCCATGTATAGTCTTTTCCTGTTAAACGCACAAACAGACAAAACAATCACTAAAGATATAACCTTATGGAATAGGTCATATCTGAACTAATCCCCCACTAACAAAACATTATGGTGGCTGATAAGCATTTTGTAAAGTTTAAATATTTTGATGGCAATTTCAGGTCAGTGCTGTGCTTAAACACTACTGTTCAATTTATTTATTTATTTTCCAAATAATTATTTTATTTAGCAAGGATGCATTAAATTAATCAAAAGTGAGAGTAAAACTCTAGCATGGTGACATTTTTTATTTTCTATTGATCAATATATCCTGAAAAAGATTACAGTTTCCACAACTGATGTCAACGTTGATAAGAAATGTTTCTCAAGCACAAAATCAACAAATTAGAGTGATTTCTGAAGGATCATGTGACACTGAAGACTGGAATAATGGCTGTGGGAAAATCAGCTTTGCCATCACAGAAATATATTATGTTTAAAAATATATTAAAATAGAAAATTATTATAACCTGTAAAAAATATTTCACAATGACCAAATAAGGCAGCCTTGGTGATCATAAGAGACATTTTTCAAAGACATTAAAAAAATAGTACAGAACTCAAACATTTGAACAGTAGTTTATACTGTTCTATTGTTTAAGCTGCAAACAAGACTGTTATCAAAAAGCCTCAAGAGACAATTCTGTCAAGATTAGATGTTAGAAATGTCCGGTGTAAAAGCATTATACTCTTATATTCTTCTGATATGTAACATCTTTTTTTTGCAAACCATCTCCATTAGTGCAGTTTCCCTGTCATGATCATCATAACATAACTTTTTAAGGACATTGCGCTGGTTGTCTCAATCTACTGGATCATTAGTATCCCACTTACAGCATGACACTGCCCTTAACATTTTCTTCCATACTCCAATGAAAGTAATTAATGTACTTCTGCAAATCATTCTATTGTCAGTATGTAAATTCTCACCAGAGAATGGGGTCATTTGCAAGCTCACTGAAACGCTTGCATACGCAGGCAGCCTGGCACAAGTCCTGCTCCAGCAGGTAGGAGAAGATCTTCAGAACGACTTCATCCGGAAGCTTCTCTTGGAGATACTGCTCCGCAGGGGCAGCTGAAACATTGTCAACAGGGAAAACAAAATCTAAAGCAAACTGCTTGCAGAGCACACTTAATAGCAATAGTAGCAATAGTCCTTTGATAAGCAACAAAACTTAATGATGCACTTAATGATCGAGACCACAACTCTTCACTCACCTGGCAGGTCCTGGGATTTTCCCGACACTCTTGCACGTTTAGCTCTGTGACCGAAATTTTCTGTGGCTGAAGTGGAGGCTCCCTGTATCGCACAAATCAGACATTGACTTTTTAGACTGCTATTTAGATTCAAACAACTTTAGTAGGACTATCTCTTGTCAAAAGTGCAAACTAAACAGGGTTAGGCCTAGTTTATCTCAAAAGTGGTAAGATCTTTACCTCCATACTGTTTTTTGCGGGGCACACGGTTCGTTTAGGCAACAGGGACTTTCTACGGAGTTGGTATGGACTGTTTTGAGCTCCTGGACCAGATTCTTCTGCAACCATATCTGCAGGGATGTCCTCATCTACAGAGGGCATAGAAAGAAAAAGAAAACAATCCATTCAGCAAAACATATCTCAACCTGCCCTGCACAAGCTCAGACCCCAAGTTCCACCACAAACTCCTGATTCCCATGTTTGCAGTGAACGTTGCAAAATGTGCCTGCAGGAACAAAACAGACCCATTCTCTCAAGGAAAATAGTCAAAGAAATTTGTTGGCTTTCTCCAAAAGCATAGCAGTGGAGACAACACCTTTGCCCATCAGTTGGTAAGAACATCACATCGGTACAAAACTCTGAATTTCCATACTTCCAGAAAGCTTGCTTTTCCATATCTTAACGCATTTAAAGAGTAAAAATGCCTTAACCTTCTTCATACAATTGGTTTTGCAAATGTAAACACCATTATATGTTATCCATAAACCAAAAAAACTACGGCAAAAACGACTGCTATTCTTTATTCAGCTGCAAATGACTTACCTACCTACCTGTCAATACCTGGTGTACTGATCACCTGAGAGCCTTACGGTCTGTCCTTCCCTACAGCACAATTGGTACCTGGAGACAACATCCAAAAGTTAAAGATGAGAAGAGCAGCTAAAACTTGACTCTAAACTGTCACGAATTTTATGGCAACTCACAGCTGACTGGTCCATCAATAGCAGACTTCACAGACAAGATGGCAAGGCAACAAAAAGTACATCAGGGCAAAATATCAACACAAAAGGAAATCCTTATCTGTTCAGCCATGGCACTGGTCACTCTCTCTGCCTGCCTTGTGCCTACATGTGCATCTAGTCAGTGTCCACATCCAAAACGTCTAAAAACAAAACAGTATGGAGAAGATGCTCTTCCTTTTCACCAAAAACAGCATGCACAGATAAAAAAAAAATAAAAAAAGTGTATCCAAATAAGAACTTAGAACATCACACCCTTATGTAATACAAATACACAGATATTACATCATTCTCCTTTCTAAAAGCCCAACTACCCTAACTAAGGATTATGTTGGCAGTGATACATTGATGTTATCAGGTGGTAATATCATAGTATTACTATGGTGTATGTTCAAAAAAACATTGGGTACTTTTTAGTGTAGAGGTTATATTAATATTAACTTTGAGAATATGAATGGTCCTTACACTCAAGTCAATGCATTGCTTAGGCTGATGTTCTAATTGAAATAGACAGTAACTGCAAACATCAGATCAAATGTAAACATTGAGGTAGTCAAAATGCACTGATCACTACTGGTCTAAAATGAACCAATAAACCCTAATAAATGCTTAAAGAGCATGAAAACCTAACGCATTAACACTTTATCAATGGATTTTTTTAAAGACCAGAAAGCCTGTCAGTGGGGGGTCTGTAACCCAGCTAAACGTGGAAACAAAGGTTTCTGATTGATCATCGCAGAAGCACCTTCACCAGCAGAACCCAGGGCCGTGAACATAGCATTAAACCAAACCAACAAAAATAACTATCCGTATGATAAATGTTCCACCACGCACATATCCCCAACAAAACAGTAAAGACAGCCTTTATCTTACCCCGTTTTCTCGCTGTAAGCTCAAGTGCGCAGCTACTTACGTTAGCTAGCGTGCTACCTAGCAGTGTAAACAGTTAACTTCACAGCCACTGCATTTAAAGCTAACGAAACCCGAATAAACACAATGCAGTTGTAGATATTAATGCGGTGTGGAAAGCAGCAACTGTGTTAGTATTTGGTGTAAACGGACAATGCCATCAACTGCAGCTCAACACTGAATACTAACAGCTACGCAGCGCAGATTTTCGTGCTTAAATCCACTTCTCGTGTCTCTCTTCCACCTATAACCCACGACAGATAACTTATACCAGACATAAATCAACATTTACCTTATCTTGTTTCTAGGTTTAACGTTAACCTGTAAAGGTGACGAGTGCGTTGAAAACTAGCCGTTTACGATTAGGGCTCGTGAAGCCCAAACAAAGCGCGGCCTGGCCTATATATATGCGCCTCGACGCTCTGCACACAAGCCCTTTTAATCAGGTTGTGCGGCTTCGGAGTGGCCGTGTCGGGTCGGATAGATTAAGTACCGTATACGACACGGTACAATATTGAAGCGTTGTTGAATAAAAGGTCCCCGTCTTACCTCTTTCTGCGTTGTTTCTTTCCGGCTGCACCGGGCGCGGCCTCGACACTCGCCTGGGTCTCCTGCTGCTCGCTCTGACGGAGTTCATTTGGCGAGGTGACTTTACCCAGAAAAAAATACGCTTCCCTCTAACCTTATTCTGGTGTTATTAGCATTTACACAAATCTCTGGTCTGAAACAAGTCAAATAACCCGTCTACGCCGAAAAATGACACCAACCCTAGGCAGTTTTTCTTATTCGGGGTGTTGTTGGTGTGTTTTTTTCGGACAGCTCCCCCCTGTGCTGAGCTCCGTGTCTCTCTCTCTCTTTCTCTCTAGCAGGAGGAGCCATTAACATGGACATGGAGAACGTGCACAAGGGGGCACCACTGATATTCAGCAAGAGTAACATTGAGTAATTGCTTTTAAATATTGATCCTCCAATTTTGGAGAAGTTGAGATTCAAAGTGTTAACAGCCCTGGTGCCATGGCGCTGAGATTACAACTGTGTAAAAGCTTTTCCTGATGATAAAAAAAAAAAAAAAAAAAAAAACCGCTTAAACCAGGCAGATCTGATCTCCTAGGCTGGTCAACATAGCAAAAAGTGGGTTATGGTTCTGGCTTTACTAGTTGAGAACCAGTTTGGTCAGGCTGGGAGACTAGACCGATCTTAAACCAGCAAATATTCTGGTTTAAGATGTTTGCATTAGAAAAACTCGCCTGAATGCATTACTCTTACAAACCTGATCAATTAAAAAATTAAACTGTCTTAGAACTGAATGAAATGTGTACTTTATTCTGCTTAGCTTTAATTACCAGGTAAACTATAGCATGGATTTTCAATTCGATGATCCAAATATGATCACCCTCGAGAGACCCCATCCTAAAAATGTAAAAGGCAGCTCTGTATATATTTTAATGTGCAAACACCCAATTTATACTGTGAAAAAATATATGAATACAAGTAACATTATGTGGATAATATTTAGTTTATATTACATTAGTTTTCTTTGTACTCACTATAGTACTGTTAGATGTATTTAAATATTATTTATTTTAATCTTTATTTGAATCAATTTGCTTTTTTTTTTTAATCAAAAATATTTTAGTTTAATCTTATTTTATCATTTATATATTTTTTACACTTTTCCCAGACCCCAATTTGAAATCCCCGGAACTATGGCAACATGAAGATTTAGTACATTTATAAAAGCACAATTCAAAGAAAACATTTAAAGTTAAGTGTACAAACAAGGTCTGTCTGAACTAAAAGAGTTTATAATTATAATACTAAACCATTATCTTCGAAATTAGGTAAAATAAAACAGAAAAATTTAAACCTTCCCCAATTTACCCATTAGATGGCGACATTGCCACTAACCAAAATTCAAGTTGTAATTTTAACTGACAGTGCACACACACAAACAAAAAAAGTATTTAGAAATGTTTTACTCTGAGAGAGGATTAATGGCTACAGAACGCATATAACAAGAAAAAAACACCTGAAAAGAAATATGGTGCTAAAATGGAAAGAACAATTCTAATCTACTATAGATTATATCAATTTCCATTATACCATAAACAAATTTACTGAAATGTTGAACTTTCATCCACTAAGACAATGCTCATCCTGAAGCCCTCAGACTGAAGTCAGTTTGACTTTGGCAGAACGTGACACTATCTCATTGATGAAGCTATTGTTTTGGCCGATGACCTCTGCCTTGAGTTTGCGCAGCTCCTCTTTGACAGCCTCGTCAGACATGCCTTCAACAGGCATTGATTTCACCTTAGCCAGGAAAGCCTCAATGATCTTCTCCCCCTCCTATGGATAAATCCACAAGACAGCACAGCAGTTTATTAACTGTGATATTTTAATGCATTGAGAATGCAAACATTTCTTTTAATAACACATCTCACCTGTTTCTCCAGGCAGCGTCTTTTGGCTTCAGGTCCAGCTTCTTCCCCGGCTCCGGAAATATCCTGGAACTCCTCAAGCTCCAAAGCCTTCTCCCGTGCATTAGCAATCACATGCTTGGGGAAGTTAGCAAGCTCTGCCACATGAATCCCAAAGCTCTGGTCACACACACCTAAGTCAAATCAAGCCCAAATAAAACATCATACACCAAGCACAACGGAAATATACAACCCAATCTAAGTTTTCAAAATGATTAAAGAGTGTAGTATGCATTTCTTTGCTTTGCTGAAAAGCCACATACCCCTTTTCACCTTGTAGAGCATTGTGAGAGTGCTGTCTGTGGTCAGGGCAGTGACGTGGAGGTTACGGACAGTGGGCACCTGCTGCGCCAGCGCCGTCAGCTCATGGAAGTGAGTGGCAAACAGGCAGAAGGACTTGAGGCGGGTAGCGATGTACTCTGAGATTGCCCAGGCCAGACCAAAGCCATCGTACGTGGATGTGCCTCTGCCTAATTCATCAATAATGATGAGGGAATCCTCTGTGGCCGATCTAAAAAAAACAAAAATACAAAACATGACATACATTTATCACAAAAAAGTATTGAAGGGCACAAAATGCATATTGTAAAATAGGGCCATCAAAATCAACATGTTAATTTTACGTTTCACTTTTAATAGTTAAACATATATTTTAATATTTAAAGGGTTAGTTCACCCAAAAATGAAAATTCTGTCAGTAATTACTCACCCTCATGTTGCTCCAACCCCGTAAGACGTTCGCTCATCTTCGGAACAAAAATTAAGATATTTTTGATTAAATCTGAGAGCTGGATCACTCCTCCATAGGCTTCTTAAGGGATCGAAACTGGCCGGGCCAAAAGTTATGAAAGACATCGTTAAAATAGTCCGAGTGACTACAGTGGCTCAATCTTAAGTTTATCAAGCCACGAGAAATTTTTTTGTGCGCAAAAAAACAAACAAAAATAACGACTTTATTCAACTATTCATTTCCTTCTCTGTTGGCCTCGAGATTTCACGTAGTGAAACTACGCAAAGCTTCTAGGTTGTACGTCATACGCATCACACACATGACCAGCGTCGGCCAATAGTGAGCCTACGTGTGACGTGCAACCTAGAAGCTTTGCGTAGTTTCACTACGTGAAATCTCGAGGCCAACAGAGAAGGAAATGAATAGTTGAATAAAGTCGTTATTTTTGTTTGTTTAAACTTAAGATTGAGCCACTGTAGTCACTCGGACTATTTTAACGTTGTCTTTCATAACTTTTGGGCCGGCCAGTTTCGATCCCTTAAGAAGCCTATGGAGGAGTGATCCAGCTCTCAGATTTAATCAAAAATATCTTAATTTGTGTTCCGAAGATGAACGAAAGTCTTACGGGGTTGGAACAACATGACGGTGAGTAATTACTGACAGAATTGTCATTTTTGGGTGAACTAACCCTTTAACGCAATTTACACAGCATCTGTTTTTTTCTCTCCTGCCATCCTTTGGCTAGCGTTACAGTTTATGATCATGCTCTCATTCATTCAAGTGCTATTAAAAGAGAACTAATTTCTGTACTGGCACGCTGTTTGTAAAGCACTCTCTGTGTTCACTCATCGGAAATGCATGCAGAGAAAGCCGCGCCAGTACCGCACTGAGTTTTCTTTTGCTCTTGATGTCATTAAAGCTCCTGTAGGTAACTTTTGAAAACATGTATTTGCTAAAACTGTCATTATGTCCTGACAGTAGAATATGAGACAGATAATCTGTGTAAAAATCAAGCTCCTCTAGCTCCTCCCAGTGGTCCTATTGCCATTTGCAAGAAATACACGCTCCCGGTCAGAAACAACCAATCAGAGCCAGGAGGAGTGTCTAAGCACTGTCAATCACGCTCGTGTACGCGCTGATCACACCCCTCTCTTGCACAGCGCGTTGCGCGAGCCGTCGTTCAAACTCAAGATTGCCGCCGTGCTGCAGCTGTGCTTATGACGGAGAAACAACCTAAACTGCCAATTCTCGAGTGACACCTGCTCATAAAACAAAGAGGTAAAAGGAAAAAGACTGATGACGATAACCAAGCGAAAAAGAAAGAATTACACAGAGCCCATTGACTCGGTGTCAAAACTCTAGCCGCATAACATGTAGATAAAATGTCACGCACTCTGCTAAGCAACAATTGAAACCTGCTAATTCACTGGCTTGTCATGTTGCTGAAATAATGTACTAGCACACCTTATCTAGCATTATATATCGCTAGAATAATTACTTACATACTGTAACGTTAGTTACCGTTATATTAACGTTATCTTACTAGCTATTTATAACTTATAGAAAGAGTGCAACGTTATAAAGTTACATGTAGGCTATTGCAAAATACATAATGATTTGAGGACCAAGTTTGTAGTCAAAGTATGGGCAGGCCATAGTCAATGTAAAGCATATTATTGACGTTTAGTCCCTATTAGTGAATGTGCCATATAACTTTTTATCCGCTGTTATCGGTGGCCCTGTTTACTAGCCTGCGCGTTCACAACAGGCTCCGCTGTGGAGGACGAGCTGTGGAGGGAGGGCTGTAGCGCAGCAGAGAGCAAGGGGGTGGGACCTGTAAGTTGTGCTTGTTCAAATTTTCAGGCTAAGTCAACGTTTTCTCAAAACTCCCTACTGCAGCTTTAATGTTAATCGAGAAAAAGAAGGGGGAAAAGAAGAAAACTCACTCACTGCTCTTGAATGAATAACCTTTGTAGCTTTAATAAGAATGAATCTATATTCAATTTATAGTTTATGTATTCTATTTATGTATATACAATTTATAGTTTATCTGAATATTATTTTAAGTTCACTTAAATTAGAAGTTGATATTTTTAAAAGATCAAATGTAAATGTTAAAATTAACATTAAAATGAAATGAAGTTAAAATTAAATGTTGAAAATGATGGCTTTAGATTATACTGTAATGTTGAATGGCTATAATTAATGGCTAAAACTGAGGGAAAAAATGTATTTAATTGAGACATTAGTAGCACTATTGGTAACATTGATACTGGCTTTAACTGGTTTATCCGTGCACAATTTTTCTTAAAATTCATGTGCCCTCGTAATCTTTAATCAAAATAACTACGATTTCTCTTCTCTGATAATATGTTCACCGGCACGAGGGCCGGACAAACTGTCACTCACATGAGATCACAGCAATAGCAAACAACAATCCAATCAATTCCCGATGGACAAAAACAAGTCCCGCACTACATTGTTTCTTGTTCGAGAAGCCGTTTCACTCGGATATACATCACAATAGGAAAGAAATAACTATCGTAACTTCCATTTCATGACGATTAAGTTCAACTGACAGCATTTGTTGCATAACGTTGATTACCACAAAAAATTTAGATTAGTCCCTCAAAAAAGGTTACAGTGA